CCTTCAGGCAGGAGTTCTAGTGCTGTTGACCATGAGTTCAGTGTTGATGAATCAACAGTGTGTATTAAGGAAGGCATCTCTAAGAAGAGACCCCATAAAACAGGGTTATATATAATTAAAGTGACAAGAGACTCATAGGAACCAAACCTTGTATTTCGCCTAGGAGCTATGGTTCAGTATTGGCTAATCCAATACTCCTGGTGACTAATTCCAAGAATCAAGTGTAGACCAGAGGACACAGCTTGGGGATCACTGTTGCAAAAGTATGCACACAATACAGCTGCACAAGGGAAAAGAGCCGTTGACTTGAGCTTGGAGAACTGAAGGTGTCTTTATGGAAGAGCTGCTTTTGAATGAAGCTTTAAAAAAATGAATAGAAAATCCAAGACTAGATGAGGATGGAAGTTTGTTCAAGGCAGAAGGGCACCTCATGCAAAGGAAAGGAGGCTGAAAAGAAGTCACGTGTTCCAACTCGGCCATGGGCACAGATTTTCAGCCATTACAAAGTTTCTGCACCTAGCTTGGGTTGTGATTTTTGCAATAAGGAAGTGTGCAGCATGTCAGCTGTGAAAATTGGCTCAATATTCATAATCAAATCTATTGTGCTCCCTCTGAAGCCTGTGCCACGTTTCCGTAGAAACTCCCAGTTACAGAAGGAACCCTGGCCAGTAATTGACAAGAAAGCCCAACAGCTTTGCAGGCCACTTTAGTAATGCCAGGGGAAAAACACTATGCAAATTCCTCCTGGAAACTGGTGAGCTAGGAGGGCAAAAATAGATTCCCCCGTTGGAGCATAAAATGTAGACGGCACCTCAGGATTTTATGACAAAGGGACCCTCGGTCTCTCCTCCTCGTCCTCATCTGTGGGTCAGTCTGCTAACCTGCAGATCTGAAATGAGCACTTACCATAGGCCTAGCACAATTCGAAGCACCATGAAGCAACACACACACACACACGCGTGCTCACACACACTTGTGCTCACACACACTTGTGCTCACACACAAGAACAAGCAACATTTTACCCAGCCTCTCTTTCACAGCTGCAAAGCAGTTTATTATCACCTCTCACATCAGCCTACTGAGGTAGCTTTTATTGTGCCCATTTTGTGGAAGAGAAAACCCAGACCCCAGATGACTGAGTGACTGGTTGAAGTTCACAGGGGTAGCAACTGGCAGCGTCAGAGCTGGTGCTCTGTCTGGACTCCAAATCCAGTGGGGGTGTTCTCCATGAATTGGAGAAAGTTCCTGTCCCGGAGAAAGTTGCAAACATGACAAGTGTCCAGGGCCAATGTCGAGAGATGGTGGCGCATGATGCTTCGGAGGAGTAAATGGCCTTTCCTGCCAGCATGATAGGACTCCTCCTCGGAGGACAGACATCTGAGCCCACAGTGCCGCATGGTTCTCAAAGCATTATTCCCATTGGGACAACTAATCTCTGAGGGCTAGAGATGTGGAAGGAAGCCATCTCAGGAGGGTTAAGAACGAGGAACAGAAATGACATTTGAAGCAGGAATGACAAAGGACTCATGTTGAGAAAGGGAGCTCCACTTGGTTGGGAAGTTTAGAGGCAATGTTCCACCTGCCTAGGATGGGTCTCAGCAGGTGGGGGAGAGGCCTGCAGGGGCGGGTACTTGTCACTGTGATGCTCCTTTATGGAGAAAGTGCAGGTGTTCGATGAGTCTCCATCAGGCAGGAGTTTAGTGTCATTGATAAGGAGTTCAATGTTAATGAAGCCACAGGATGTACTAAGTAAGGTGTCTTTAAGCAGAAACCCTCTTGAGAGGGGATGCTGCATCTTCCCTGACCCCAACCCTCATTCTGTGGTACTCCTGGACACCTGTGTGGACAAGTATTGTTCTCAGCACTGGGGACCTTTCTGAGAATGTGTTTCCTTTTCTTTTTTTCTTTAGTTAAAGATTTATTTATTCATTTGAAAGAGAGAAAGTTAGAGAGAGAGAGGAGAGGCAAAGAGAGAGAGAGAGAGAGATCTTCCATCCGCTGATTCAGTCCCCAGATGGCCACAACGGCTGAAGCTGCGCAGATCCAAAGCCAGGAGCCAGGAGCTTCTTCCTGCTCTCCCATGTCGGTGAAGGGGCCCAAGTGCTTGGGCCATCTTCCCCTGCTTTCCCAGGCCACAGCAGAGAGCTGGATCGGAAGAGGAGCAGCCAGGACTGGAACCGGCACCCATATGGGATGCTGGCACTGCAGACGGCAGCTTTACCCACTATGCCACAGTGCTGGGCCCAGGAATGTGTTTTCTTTTTCTTTTCTTTTCTTTTCTTTTGTTTCTTTTTAACAGGCAGAGTGGATAGTGAGAGAAAGAGACAGAGAGAAAGGTCTTCCTTTGCCGTTGGTTCACCCTCCAATGGCCGCTGCAGCTGGCGTGCTATGGCCAGCACACCGCGCTGATCCGATGGCAGGAGCCAGGTACTTCTCCTGGTCTCCCATGGGGTGCAGGGCCCAAGCACTTGGACCATCCTCCACTGCACTCCCTGGCCACAGCAGAGAGCTGGCCTGGAGAGGGGCAACCGGGACAGAATCCGGTGCCCCGACCGGGACTAGAACCCGGTGTGCCGGCACCGCAAGGCGGAGAATTAGCCTAGTGAGCTGCGGCGCCGGCCAAGAATGTGTTTTCAAAAGCAAGGGAGCAGGGCCTGGTCTGCAGAGGGCAGCTCAGAGCCCCTGGACCATGATGGAAGCTCTCTATTTACCATGTTCAGCAAGGTCTCCTCTCCCTTCCTCCCTGTCCCCAAGGACACTTAACGTATCATCAGTCTCCTTATTCCAGGCTCTGGCCAGGTCTGCTCAGCACCCTGGAAGCCCCCAGGGTGTGGCACAGCTTTCTGGCACTGATGTTCCAGTTGTCCATTCCCCACTGCACTTCACGCAGCCCACGTTGGTACTGTGGCCGCCCGTGGACCACTTCCAGCCAGGCTGTCCCCTTCATCCCTCTGCCCGGAGTGCCCTTGTCCCCATATCCTGCCTGTTGTGGTCCAGCTCCTCTGCCAGGCATTACCCTAAAGGCTTGCTCTTCAAGAATCTGTTTCCAGTTCCCCCGGTCACGAAGCATGGGCTTTTTCCCTGGGGTCACACAGCAAATCTCTCGATTTCAGCCCGTTTCTTTCTCTGCCTTGTCACAGCCTGGGCTGGCAGCCTGTGTCCTCCTCAAGCCTGGGAATGTGGGTCCTTATTCTGTCACTTAGCACAGTGTCTTGCACTTGGCCAACGCTCAATCTCTCTTAAAAATAAACACACCAAACTGGAACGGTTCTGTTGACATTTAATTCGATTAAGATATTAAAGCTCATTTTAGTAAACTTGTTTTGGGAATGAATGCGTAGGAAATTCTACCTCAACCTCAATTCTACCTGCCCCCACCTCGATGACAATCTAATTTCACTGTCATCTTTACCGCAATGACTTCTAAACTTGTTATTAGTATCACTGAGGAAAGACCATTTCGTCTGATGATTGTGTCTGAGGAAACGCTTAATTATTAAAGTCCACACTGATAATTAGGAAACCCTGTGATTTTGCGATGGAGCAGGCACTACCATGCACATAGGCCTCCATTACTTAGAGAGGAGCCATCTCTAAGTGCGCTCAAGTGAAACCTACCACATCAAATAGTGCCCGCTCACCAAGCTATGCTGTGTCATTAGAGATGTAGGACTGTGGGACGAAGCTCCTCCCGTGGCCTGTGATGATGTGTTTTGCCGGGTTAGTGGCTGGTTTGACTTTGCCCTCCCCTGAGCCTTGCTGGGTTTGAGGCGGACAGAATCAGCCATTTCCAAGTGTGCGTGTGTGTGTGTGTGTGTGTGTGTTTGAGGGGAAGGAGGCCTGGTTTAGCTCAGGCCAAGAAGGATTTTCTAAAAGGACCACTTACAGATAAAATAAATCTTGGCGGGGATTGACAGCAGAGGCTGGGCCAGGGCACCAGGGAACCTTGACAGACTGGGGCGAGAAGGAGAAAGCCCTCATTCAGAGTCTAAGGACCCCTCCCAGTGGGAGACTGCTTCTCTCCAACCAGGCCGTGCCCTTCTGCCCTTGACTGTGAATTCTTGCCAAAGCCGGCAGAAGAGTTCATGCAAACCTTCCAGGCCCTTGGATGGTCTGGACTCTCCTAGCCCCCCACCTGGAGCTAGATTTCAGAAAGGGATGGAGCCTTGATGTCTCCTGTGCTCAGCACCTGGGCCTGGCTTCCCTCTGCTCCCAACCCACTCACCCGGGCTGGCTCCACTGACGCCGCCTCCGGGGCGCACTGCCTGCACAGGCGCTAGGCGCTGAATAACTCTTTCAGGATAGTCCTGCTGATGGACTGGGAAAGGAAGCAGCTACAGCCGGGGTCTGCGAGAGCCTTGCCTCCCCCAACAGGAGCTCTGACTCACAGCCTGTTTGGCACTGCTCGGTTCTCTCTGGCTTCCTGACTCTCCCTCTCTCTAATGTAAAAAACCTCCATGGCAGATGTTTTAAAACAATGCTCATGACCATGACGCTGTAATCCACCATCCTCTCTTTGCACCATAGAAACATTTTTAAGTGTTTTTGCAGACTTACTCTGTTGGAGAATCCCATTTTTAGGGCAGGCTCTTGGGGTGGTCCTCCCTGGGGCTGGGAGGGGCTGGGAGCAAGATGGGACTCGCACAAGGGCCTGCGGAGGTCTGGCAGGGCACAGGCGCACGAGGTGGAGGGTGGGCGTGCAGCTAGGGGATTTTACGCCCACCCGCTTTTGGAGGGGAATAGTGGGGTCTGAAGGAATTCGCTGCGGACCAGCAGAAGGGGCTTGGTGCGCAAGGCCGAGTGGCCAAGGCGGACGGAAGGGCCGGCGCACCGTGCACCGAGATGGGCAGCGCCAGCTTCCCAGGCGCAGTGGGCAGAGCTGGGCCGCGCCGGGTGACAGCGGGGGTGGTGCCCTCCGGTGCCGGGGCGAGGCGGCCTGCGAAGTGGCGAGACAGAGCCGCAGGCGAATAGTGTGATATGCAGGGATGAGCTAGGCTCACTGCACCTATTCGCAGGCTGCGGCGGCCGCGGGAGAGACGTCCACGGCGGCGGCGGCGGAGCGGGCGGCCGAGCAGGGCGGCGGCGACTCGCGGTGAGCGCGGCGCGGAGGGCGGCTGTGGGGGGGTGGTCTTCCGGCCGAGGGGCTCTGCGGCGCGGGGCGGGCCGGTCCCTGACCAACCTTGCCGAGCCTCCCTGGCTTCGACGCCCTTGCAGCCTGCGAGGAGGGAGGGAGCGCGCAACACCGGTCCCGAGCCCTTCCCGGCGGTCCGCGGCCCGAGGTCTGACTGTGCGCGCCACTGCCGCTCTCCTGGAGGACGGCTTCCCGACGGCGTTGCTTCCCCAGAGCGCCCCCTCGCCCCTCCACACTGCCCCCCTCACCCCATTAACCCAGGTAGCTGCTTTCCCTTTCCCACCGCCAGGGGCCCGGCTCCCCACCACTCCCTTTTGGCCCTCCCCAGTCGGTGCACACCTGGGCTCTCGGCTGCCACCTGCCCCGGACGCCCTCAGCCAGCCGGCCAGCTGCTGGCCCAGGACCCTGCCTCCTCGGTTCCCAGAACCCAGAACCTGAGCCCTGAGCTTCTGGAACAATTTGACCCACTTCCCAGAAGGCTGGTCTCAGGCCAGCTGTGCTTTTTGGTGGAGACACCTGTCCCTTTTGCCAGTGGAAGGTCCCAGATGAGAAGCCGCTGTCACAATGGGCCAGCTGGTCCCTGAGTCCTCCTCCAAGCGACCCTGACTTTCTGGCCAGTGTTCCCAGAGACCAGGGCCAGAGGCTTTGTCATTTAAGGCCTCCAAGGTTGCTTCCCCACCTCACCCCACCCCCGACCCTGGTGATCCCTAGAATTTCCAAGCCACTGTGTTGGGGCAGAGGGTTTGGTGCTGATGGGACCACCTTTCTGGGTTCTGGTCCTCGCTTTAGTGCCAGGTCTCCAGGGAACCCAGGGGTAGGGTCCAGCCACTGGAGCTCAGGCCCTCCATCCCTCCCACAGCCCTGTGGCCCTCCCTCCTTGTCCTGCCGGAAACTTTCCCCTCTGTCACCATCTCTAGCCTCTGGATGAGGTCTGTGCCATCTGCATAGCATCCAATCCCCAGTGCAGCTGGGCTGGGACCAGATAGGGCAGGGGCTTGCGCTGGGCCGCAGGAGGAGGGCGGCCCCGAGCCAGATCTGGGCCTGGGGGCTGGGGGTATTAGGGTGGATGGTTGCTGGCTTTCATGGAGCTCCGAATGGGCTTTGAGGGCTGGCTCTGCAGCAGAGAGGAGGCAGAACAGGGGCTGTTTTTCCTGCGTGTTTCTGACTGTCTTGTGTTGCTATGGTGACAGTTTTGCCTCCCTTCGTCCTCCTGACTCTTCTGGGAGCTGGTTTTTATTGGTCTGTTGTCCTGTCTTTTATGGCTCTAATTTCTCCTCTCTACTTGCTCCGAAATAAACAGTCATAAACATGGGCGCTGGGCCCAGGCTGGGGGCTGGCAGGGCTTCACCTCCTGCTGGCCCCGGGCTCCTGGGAAGGGAGAGTAGGGCAGCCAGGCTGGACCACACTCCCTCCAGCTCGCAGCTTTGCGAAAGGACTGGAGCATCCCAGGCCAGGGCACGCAGCGGGTAGCACACCTCCTCCGTGCTGAGAATGGATCCCAAGTGTGGCTGGCAGGGAGCTCGGCGGGTGATTTCCTTCTGTCGTCACAGAAGCGCTGTGGGCAGGGACTGTCCCCATGGTGCAGATGAGGAAACGCAGCCCAGAGCAAGTGAGCGTTTTCACCAGGGCTGCCCTGGCTTTAGCACCATAGTCAGCCCTCCGTTGTCAAATGAATGGACAGGTGATGGAGCTGGCAGACACACGCTGACCTGCTGGACTTCCCACCCTGCCAGGCTCTCTGCTCCTGCTTGCAGAGAGCCCACAGGGCCTTATTTGGTCTAGCCCCCTAAACTCACCCTCCAAGAGGCTCATGGGCAAGGCCCCCGGCATCCCCACCTCTTGTGTGTGCCGGGGGACAGCAGTGGAAGTGAGCTGCCGGGGAATTAGGGATTGTTTCTCAAGTCGTTCCTGCACCCTTGACAGTAGCTGTTGGGGACCCACGCTGAAAGCAGAGTAAAGCCACTTGTGACTTCCTGTTTTCACGCAGCACCAAGAAGAATTGAGTTTGCTCGTACTCCCAGGGCCTAGCTGCAACCGGATGAGCAGGACACCAAGCACCCAGCAGCAGCCTTCCTCCCCGAGCCAGCCTTGGACAAGGAGTTCAGAGCTCTCCAGGGCCACGGGGTCACCCACTGTCAGCTGTCAGGGACACGCATGACGCTGGTCCTCTCTTGCTGGTTATTTTTCCCTTTGTAGAGCTCTTCTCTTCCAACTGCCCTTTCTCTCCCTTCAGGTTGCTATACCTTGGTTTGATAAGTGAGCGGGAAAAAAAAATGACAGTAGCATGAAAACCCAGGGAATCAGCAGCCTCATTGTCAGATGTGGGCCCTGGGCAAGTCAGTTTACTCTTGTGGGCCTCAGTTTCCCGGTCTTTAAAATGGAGCTGACAGCATGTGGCTATTGATAGCATTTGATTGTTCTTTTGGGATGCAGTGGAGTACCCTGCAGGGAAGAGCTATGAATGGTCAAAAGGCTAAACCCATGATGTCTTTGTCCTTGTGTTAAAGAGATCCCTGAACCACTATCCTGGGTTAGGAAAAATTAAGCCTTAAAGTCTCATGGTCAGAGGCATTTTCTGAAGTCATCTTGCCCAGCTTTGATGTCAAACCAGGTCCTGCTTGCTCTTGGTGCCGTAGAACACAGTCTTGTTGCTGCCTTGGCTGGCCTGTCAGTGACCTAAAATGGTTGTAAGCTCACGGTTACTGAGCACCTGTTCTATACCAAATGCAGTTAGGGGTATGGGGATGACAAAATGAACCCTGTTCCTACTTTCAAAGAATGCAGTGTGGTGGGAGAGACAGATGTGGAAAGAGATCCTTGTAATATAGTTGGAGGGGTGGTGTGATGGGTGATGTGACACCTAGAGATGGCCGCTTGACTGGGTCGCTAGGTAGCATGAAATCAGCCAGTCTGTGTGTTGTGACTGCAATATAATTGTGCTTCCAGTGCCCCCTGGGAGGACTGTAGTCTGGTCCTCACAGCAATGGGCTGGTTGCCAGAGTCCCTCATTCAGCTCCCATGAGTGGAGTGGTGAGATGTGTCAGGGAGCCAGTCCTGGCTTCCTTGCTGAGTGTTGATGCTCGCCCCCATGGTGGCCTCTGTCTGGTTCCTACCCAGGTCTTGGTGAAAGTTCGCTCCTGGATCTGCATGAGTGGCCTGACAAGGCAACATGGTGATGGGAAGAAAGTGGGTTTGCTTTCTGACGTATATTCAAACTCCCCTATTGCTGCGTCCTACCTAGGGGATCCTAAAGCTGTCTCTTACCTCTTTGAATCTCAATTCTAGTGACTGTAAAATTGTAATAGTTCTATTACTTTCTAGGAATTAAGTGATCTTATGTATTTATAGGCCTGGCACGGTGCCCACATCACAGTAGACTTGCTCTTATTTAGTTATATTGATTAGAAAGAAGTTCCCAGTTACTAGGCCTCTGGGTCCTCTTAGAACTGTGGTAGAGTGCTGTTTGGGTGCGTTTTGGCTTTAGAGAGCCATTCATTATCTGGGAAGCTAAAAATTGCCCCTGCTCAGGCTCTGAGTGTTGGTGGTTAATCCTCGAGTTATCTCTCACCAGATAAGTAGTTTGTCTTCTGCTGTAGCACAGTCATGCTCAAATCTCCAACACTTTTGTTCTCTCAAAGGAGACCAAATTGGAAATAGCAAAAGACAACCCAAGTTTCAGAAACATATTTTAATCTGTGAGAACACTTCAAACTGAATGCCCCATACTTTTTTATTCTGGATGTGTTTAGCTTCCTTTCGTTTTAACATTGCCAAATATATGTATATACATTTCCTCAAATAAGCACTATAACTCTGCAACAGAAATAATATTTTCCCCATTTTATAGTTAAGGAATCTGGGAAGGTAAAGTCACTCACATTGTTTCTGCCAGCTAATGAGTGCCAGGGCCAGAATTTAAAACCAGGTCCTGCTTGTTCTTGGTGCCATAGAACAGTCTTGTCATTGCCTTGGCTGGCATGCCGGTGACCTAAAATTGTTGCGTTGGGAGAATGCAAACAGATTTTAATAGGGGTGGAACTGGTCAGTGTTGTAACCCAGACTCATAGTAAATATTTAGAGACTTTACTGAGGTTTTCCTCTTGGCACAGCATTAACGAGGCTCTCTGCTGTTGGCTGAGGTTTTATTCCTGTAAGTATTGAACCGAAGAGTTTGACGTGTCTGAATTAAGAGAAAACATTTGGTGGTGTTAGGAGTAGAGCAGTGTCTTTCACAAGAATGGGTGGTTGGTTGGTGATTGACATAAACTGAACCTTTGGACAGGTGAAGATTTGCTAATTGAATTTATGAATCGAAAGCATGACAGGTACTTCTTAGGCATACAGAGACAGGAGAAGCAATGATGCCAGAACATGTGGGTGGATGACCCTTCGAATGGAGTGGTGATGTGAATTTGGTCTGTCAGTATCACTCATGTCTAGGAAGATGGTGGGCATATTGAAAAGCAATTATCAGATTGCTCCCTAGCCTTGCTCAGGTAATTTCAAAGCCTAATTTCCCTGGTTTAACAACCTTGTTGCCTCTGCGGATCCAAGTGCTGACAGCGGGTGCCATGTTGGCCATAGCGTGTTTACCAGGTGCAGCCTAGCCTGCAAACAGATGCGTTTCTATTTGCCATTATCTCAGGGCCTGAGTCTGGTGTCTGCTTATTTAATGACTTCACTTTCTAATAAAAATTCTGCATGGCATAGATAATTAGATTTTTTGAAATGAAGCTGGGGAAATGGAATGCCCCCAAAGAATTTAATTGCAGTTTTATGATGGATCAAGCATAAAAATGGGACTGTTCATTCATTTAATGATCATGTACAAGGTGGGTACTTGCCATATCCCAGCATGTGAGGATAGAGTGATCGAAGTGGCACTGTTCCTATCCTCAAGTGGCTCCCAGCCCACAGGGGAAGCAGAGGAGACAACACATGCCCCATGGAACTTGCCAGCA